AAAATACTACTAGGAAGGTTTGCTTTGCAAATCTAGCAATATACTTGAAGGGTTTTATTTGCATGACTCTCAACTTGTAATTTTGTGTTATTGTATGCGAGTTGGAGCATTGTGTCTTGAAGGTACAGACACAGATTCATTAAATCTAGTTACTGTGGTTTAATAGGTTGGTCCTTAAATATGGCCTATTTGTTTCTTTTTTCTCTTTTTCTATGAGATTGTTTCATTACCTTTTTATAAAGTGAAATCACAGAATTATTCACAAGCATTGTGGTCGTGCTTTGGATAAAGCCTTTCTAACCACTGCAGAAGCAGTCTCTTCACTCCCAATTTTCTTGCCAGCGTAGACTTTGAATAAATATCCCTGAATTAATTTTGTGATTCATTGTAGATACCCTGCAGAAGGGAGAGCCTTCCTTGTTCTGCCATACGTTACTTACATCAGGGCTCAGTTTACTAAGGCTGCTGATTTAAAACCAAAATCCCTCAACTCAGTTTAAGTCTTATGTGACTGTAATCTAATTCTTTGCACTCTTTATATCACATTTAGTTTGCTCCAAAACAAGACAAGGAAAATTCCCAAAAGGATGTGAAATTTAATTAGCAAATGTTGGTTAAGTACTTCAAGATGGCATGAAAGTTACTCTAAATGCAAAAGTGTTAGCTTGTTTCATATATGTAAAGAAAAATTGAGTGTACCCAGAAGATTGCTCTGATATCCGTGAAGGTGAATGCGAGGAGGAGGTGGGGTGTCCCAGCACGTGGGGCTGTGGTCCCACAGACAGCGAGAAGGTGACACCGCCGTCATCTGGCCTCTTGACGCCTTCCTTTCTCCTGCATAAACATTTGTATGGCCGTGCACTGAAGGGTTTTGGGGAACTGGCTGCTGAAAATAGTCACAGTTTTTAATCTGCTGTATTTTCCCAAATGAAGAACTGCTTTTCTCGGGGAGTGCTAGCTTTTGCCTGCTTGAAGTGCTGCAAGACTTGAGTCTTATTTCTGATTCAGTCATTGACTATTTCCTGGGTAGCCTTTGATAGATTTCTTAACCTTTCTGTGACTCATTTTCCCATGTGTACGCTCAAGATAGTGTGTGCTTCTGCTTTCTGAAGCATTTTGAGATCTGGAGATCAGGAGATATTGTTCAAATTAGTATTGCCTCATAGAACCAAATCTGAAATTATGCTATGACTGTTGCTGTTATAATATCCGGTTCTAAACTATTCGTAACTTACTCAAAATTCTCTGCATATGCCAAATGTAAGCATGAACAGTAACTTTTAAGGGGAAGTCTGAATTGAATCTGTTCAGTAGTTTGGGCTGGCAAAAAAGAAAAATGCTGTCATACCTTTAGAAACAGATATTGTTGAATCTTTTCCTTGCCCAAGAAGCTCAAATTAGCACAAGGCTGAGTATCTCTTCCCAGTTCCTGAGACTTATTACTCTTGTTGCTGCTTTTTCTTAGCTATGTGTCTTCAGACTTGATAGTTTCTTTTTTGACTCTCTGCCCCTACTTCTCCTGTAATTATTATGTTTTTGACACTACTGGGTTTCCCCATCCCTTATGTTTTACCAGAGTCTGGGATCATCAGGGAGGTGGGACACTGTAGCAGAATGGGCTGGGTTCTGAAGTACAAAACAAGAAATATTTCTTTCAGCCCCTCCTTCTAATTGTCAGCATTCAGCGAGACAGACACTTTGCCGGCCTGGTTGGCAGCTCTATGAAAGTGTTTATGACCTAACTTTATCTTTGAGAGAAATTTAAGGCAGAATTCCAAAGTCTGTAACAGTTCTTACAAATGTTTATGTGAGAAGCCTCTGAAATTTGCAGAATAACATGAAAAGGTATGAAAATACGTGTTTGAAAAATAGAATCTTGCTGTCATTTACTGAGCAGAGTTAGAAGTTGGTTTCTTCTGTCACACTTTGTCAAGAGTGCTGAAAGTGAAGATGAGCAGCCTCTGCTCTGGCAGAGAAGAGGGAACCAGTGAAAGAATTGGAGAAACACGGAGAGTTAACAGCTATGAGATATAAAGAAGGATTGTGATGTGATTTGAGTGGAGCAAGATGAAGTTTGTCATGACTACTGGAAAGAAATATCAGTGAGGAAAGCCTGGATCCGATTGTTTACAATCTACAACACAGTTACCTTTTTGTATGAAAAGATTGCTGTATTTAAACGTAATCTGAACGTATGGACCTTGGAGAGGTTGGTTACAGCAGGAAGCTGGCATTGCCCTCACCGCCCAAGAAATAGATTGATGGAGAATAAGAATAGCCTGTGTGTGCTGCGTGCATGCGAGCAGATGCTGAAGAGAGAGGCAGATGCTTTTAGCTGAAAGGTCATGAGGTTTCCTGCAGAGAAATAAGAGCTGAAGTCAAAGACTTGCATCCACAATTGCAGAATTAAGGTAGTAAGACAGGGAGAGATGAGCAGAATGTGGGAGGTAATTCTATAGCAAATATTGGCAGAAACTACCCCTCCACCCCAGTATGGCAGAGTGTAATCAAGCTGATAGTTTAGGTGACTGAAAAAGATGGGGTCTGCAGGGGATAGAAAGAGGTCAAATTAGGAGAGTGTGCAGACACTTAAAAATGTAACAGGGAAAGGAAGCTTGGAGGGAGGGACTAAATGTACTTAAATGTCATTTTATGTGGTGGTGTAACACAGTGTTGATTTTTGTCTTGAAAGAAATAAGATCCTACACAAAATCCCCATACTTTACTTCCCTCCCCACCTTTTAATTGCCAATATGTAACCATGTATTTTCCTCTACTGTTACTGCTCCTGTCTCTTCCTGTTGCTGTGATGGTTCCCTCAGGGAAGGAGAATGCACCCCCACCACTGATAATTTCTTTTTCTTTTTTTCCTCTCTTCATTTCCCACCTCTGTTACTGACCATGATTATAACCTGTAAGCTCTTTCTCTTGTCTTCCTCTGTTGGCGGTTTTTCTTTGTTTCACTTTTAAACATTTTATTATGGTGCTACAAACGTGATCATACCTGCAGTTCTCAGTAGGAAGACCATTAGACCGAATGAATTAGACATACATATGTATAAAAAACCATCTTGTGCGTATTTACGAAGACTGCATATGAAGACAGAAAGCTGGTGAGGTAGCACAAGTTAGGGCATCAGCAGTTCATCAAACTTTTGCAGTTTTTAATTGTTTGAACATCTTTCTACCGTGGAGCCAGTTATTAATTTAATAATAAAGGTTCACCAGCCTGCGATGGGAGTAGTTAGCACATGAGTAAACATCTGATTGAGCTGACAGTTAGCTGTGTGCCATAGTTGTACATAGACTTTCACAGAAGTTGAGAGAGAAAAATCAAAGGTTTTCTTTTTGCTGTAACTTGGCCTTAGGAATATATTTGAGTGTTCAGGTGCTATAGCTTGCGGCTATCACAATGTATATCAGCTGAAACTTGCTTTCTGACACTGTTTCTTGATTAAATGGAAAGCATATGACTCAGACCTATTAGACTATCATATAGTTGGTAAAGATGTACTCTAATGAATGCAGTATGAATGATGAAGTGTAATAAATGTTAATGGTGAAGAATTCTGTGTTATAACTTGTCACTTGGATATGAATTATAGATACTATAAAGCATACAACTAGTGATCTGTACTATTGCTTTGAAAGAGAAACTGTAGGTTTTCATATCTGAAAGTTAGGTTTAAGAGGTAAATAGAAATTTGCATTATTATTCTGATAGTCCAACATGGAAAACTTTCTTTGATGGAGAGGTGGGGAGAACACTCTAACACTCTAACCAGAACAGGAATGATAAAATATGTCAAATAAACGTTAAGATCTGTTTGTGTAGCTTGCTGTGTCTGATCCTTTCTTGAACTCATTTTGTCTGTTGAGTGCTAGTGGAAAATGCAGTTCAGAAGTATAACTTTACATGTGATGTTTGTGAAAGGCTGAGGATTAATGTACTTTGAAATGAAGCCATCTAGGCAGGGATCAACAATCACTTTATTTGAAGGTCTGATATGTCTGCTAGGCTCTGGACCAGAGGTTGAGAATTTGCTACAGATCTGATAGAATTCTGTATTTAATACATAGGTTCCAAGAATTACATGTTTTGAGCTCTCAGAGAGGAATATCTTGTGTTTTAAAAGTATATATGCCCTGCTCTTTTGGTTAGAGACATAATTTATCTGCTCAAACCACTGATGGGCGTAGTGCTTAATCTAAGTCTTCTGATCTTTGGCAGCTGAAACTACGCACAGCTTCATAGGTGCTTGGGCTTTGTTAGTGAATTTGTCTGGATTTTTTTCAGTCTTTAAAGCCTTCCTCAGATCAGTGTGCGTTTGTGTTTGCTGTTAATCTATAGCTGGAGAATACAACAGAGACAAAGTAGTCATCAAATGTCAACTAAGCAGGATTGTTTTAAGGCTTCATAGTATATTCAGTTTCTGGCATCCTGTAAACTATGCTGGCAGTTGAAATTGTGTTGTTTTGGTGGGTTTCTTTGCTTTGTGACTTCCTTTTTTACTACTTCTGTAAAACTGCTGTTAGATGGTGATAGTATTTTAGAGCCTGACTATTTCACTGGGCTTTAATGAACTGTAGGTGGCATTGAGTAAAGCAGCCCTAAGACTACCTGAATCTGAAAGTAAGAAACAGTTCATAGAACCCAAAAACTCTGTAGAAGAAACTAAAGTGAATTTCACTATTATAACCTCTTAAACATCTATTTAAAGTGACCTACTTTTATTTTAAAATTCTCCTAATTCAACTGGTAACTGGTAAAATTATGTATTCTGACAATATAATCCTCAGATCTTTGTGTAGACAATGCTGACACGTCTCATTTTGAGCCCATTTAAGACCCGTTAACGTATTTCAAACTAGAGTAACCTGTTAAATAAATACATCAGGAAAAAGCTTTTACTGGTAATGGTTGTTTTGGTTAGGTGACTATGGCTGTAATGTATTGTGAGTACATCTGGTACTTCAGTGCTTATCAGTGATCTTTTTTCCTTTAGGCGGTTTCCTAGAAACATGATTGCTTGCTGGTCTTGATCTCACAGCTTTGGGAAGACTTCTCCTCTGATAATGTCAAGTTCAGGCTACCCTCCTAACCAAGGAGCATTCAGCACAGAACAGAGTCGCTACCCCACTCACTCTGTCCAGTACACCTTCCCCAGCACCCGGCACCAGCAGGTAAGGAGACACCAGGGCTGCCAGTTTAGCAACAGTGTATTTGGGGTGTTTGCTCTATCAAATGGGCTATTTAATGATACTTTATACTTTATTTTATTATTTATTTTTTTATTTTATTTTACCAATGTAATAGGTCATTCACGTTTGAAAACAGTCGAGTTGCAGACACTGTTAAAACTGACTGAGTGAATCTCTGTAACAATGTATATGCCTTTAGAGTTCGTGTTTTGCATTAAGGCAAAGAGTCTACTTACTCAAGTGTTTTGTGTCTTTGAATGAGAGTCTGACCATCATGTAGCTTCTGGGAAGTTATAATCTGTAGCCATGTACTGCTCATTCATTCCTTCTGTTTTACTAAACTTAAAGGATTTAATTACGTGTTGAATTATGCCTTCCTGCAATCCTGTAGCCGAAATTATTAAAATCACAGAATCACAGAACGTTAGGGATTGGAAGGGACCTCAAAAGATCATCCAGTCCAATCCCCCAAAATACCTGACTACCATTGACTGCAATTTTGGCTTTTGTAAGTTTTTGTCTGTATTCCCCCCGCCCCCTTTTTGAATGTAGACAAGTATTTAAAAGTGCTCTATAAAACTGTGAAGGTATCCTAAATAAAATCTTCCAGCTTGTCAGTGTTTCCTATTATTTAACATTTGTGGATATACTCAGACTGGCAAACCACTTGTTTAGAAATTGGCCTCTCTTAAAGTCCGTGCATTGAGAATCTTACCTCCTCAGTAGATTTAGTGCTTTTGATTCTTACTTCCTCTCCTTTTTTAATGTTGAAAAATCAAATATAAAGAAATGGTCAAAGTGGCAAAGGTATTGTTTTGCCTGCTGAGAACTGCTGCCGGTTTTGCTTAGGTAAAGAGCTGTGGAGTGGTTTGGGTTTTTTGTTTCGCCCTCGTTTTTTTTTGCTGAAAGCATTGCATTTTGCTTTTCCAGGATTATATATGTATCTGCTTTTTCACTTGACTTTTTTGACAGAAAGCTGTGTTTTATAATTCTATATCTTTATAATGGGAAATGAATATAAACTTCCTGGTTTTATCTTTGGTTTCTCGTAATTTGAATAAATTCAGTAGGGATTGTGTTGATAAACTTTTGCTGTAGTTTTGCTTTAATTTATAAGTCATCATACTAAATTTGGCCACCTAAGTGTGTCTGAGTTTGTATGCACTGATAGCAATAATTTTTGAAGAATATGCAGATAACCTGTCTACAGCCAGTGTGCATTTCATATGAGAGCAATGTTCTGGGTGTAACAAATCCTTTAGAAGCTGGGCTCTTGGGGCATTTGTGGGTACTAAATTTTTATGGGGAATTAATCTCCTATTAGGCCCAGAAGCAGAAGAAGTGAACCCGCAGTCATCTTTCCTTCTATGTGATGAGTATTGGGCTGGATTCCCTGTAAGCCAAACGTGCTTGACAAAATCTGTGTGCGAGGTGGAAAATGTGTATCTGAAATGTAAAAGCCAGTGTTACACATAGAATTTTTTTCTGCAGCGGTTGTACTAGCACTTGCAGCTTGCTGTGTTCCTCTAGCCAGGATTAGGGGAATGGGTTTCTAATGATCTCCTACTTGCTCATTTCTGCCAAGCCTTTTCTGTGCCATCCTGTGCTCTCTGTGGCAGGAGCTGTTGGCTTTAGAACTGCTCAAGATTTCCTTGTTTTAATGAAATTCTCCTCCTGCTGCAGATACCTCAGATGTTTTTTTCTACTTACTTGTTTGCAAAAGGAATTTCAAGAATTGAAGCTTTCTGGCTTCCTCTGTATTTATTTTTAGATAATTTGTAATAACTAAATGTCATGGGTAGTGACCTACTGTGTGTCTTGTAGACCTTCTCTTTAGTTAGTGCCAGCTGTATACGATTTTTAAAAGAAAGAGATTGAAGACTCTTATGTACAAATAAAATGTCTTGTACCTCACTTTAATTATAAATTATATCAGTCAGAAGATGTCTTGTCTAACTCTTAGTCCTAATTAATAGTGTCTGACATAAAATGGCTTGAAGTGATAACAGAAGGAGTTGCCTCAGGGTTGCTGAAATATATTCTCGGTTCATCACTTCATAGTTGGATGTGCAAAATTGATTTTAAAGGATTTTTTTAAAAGGATATTCTGCTGCTGACTCATTTGTGTTTTGTTAGAAGTTGTTAATAAGCTAAGTGGAGTTCTTAGCATAAATATTTAGTCTCTTTGAAGTTCAGTTAAAACTCAGAACTGCCATTTACAAACTTTATATTTTGAGCTGAAATAAGGCTTTGGTGATCTGGTCTCGATCTGATCATGACACCAAACACTTTTGATGTGTCTTCTGCACCTTTGTTCTTGCTGACATCGTAAGCCTGTTTCCTTTAGGAGTTTGCAGTTCCCGATTACCGTTCGTCTCACCTGGAAGTCAGTCAAGCAACTCAGCTCTTGCAGCAGCAGCAGCAACAGCAGCAGCAGCTCCGGCGCAGGCCGTCCTTGCTTTCTGAATTCCACCCAGGCTCTGACAGGTGAGGATACTGCTTTTGAAGTCTGCGAACAGGAACCTTCTCTGAGTCTGTGCTTTCTGTAAAGTTTTAACTTTGGAGTAAAAAAGGTTTCCGAGTTTCACGGTTTTCGCCTGAGTGCTTCTTTAGTCGGTGCTCCATTGCTGTAACGTGTCCGTCTGCTGCGTTTCAGTGTTGTAGCTGTTGTGTAATTCCTCTCTCCCTTTGGCTTAACTAAGGTGTTGGTTTCACAGACGGGAAGTGACAGTCTGCTTCGCTTGTCCCACACTTCTCCTAGCCGTGCTGCCAGTAAGCTTCTGAGAATCCAAGTGCACATTGCAAACTTTTTAATGCTGCTTAGGCTAAAAGTGTGTGAAGTTTATAACTTTGGATAATTTAATCTTGCTGAGTAGAAGCACCAAGTGCAAGAACGGTTACAGTGTGAATATTACCTGTCATGACTAGGCTTGCTTATTCAACAGATGGTGTCTGTGTGGCTGTACAAGTAAGAAACAACAGAGCTAACTGGGTATTTGAGTATTTATAAACCACTGAAACGTGGCACAAAATGGACTTGTAGGCACAGAGGACTAAATCAAAGTGTGTGCTACTTTTGACAAGACACTTGACAGCTTCGTATCGTTTGTTCCAAACACCCGTTTTGTCAGTCTCAAATACCACTGCTGTGGCTGTGTAAATAGATGCAGCTGATCTGGGGTCCAGTAGGTTAACTGAGGACAAGTATAGTGGACGACTACAGTGTAATTTCACATTGGTAGTATCTTCCTTCTCAGTAAAATAGGTTACTTCACGGTGGATATTGATGAATGTTCAGATATACGTTAATACTACTTTAAGGTTGATAGGTTCGTGAAAGTTTTTAGACTGTGTTAAGTATTTCTTAGAGTATATCCCTGAAGAATATTGGATGTACTTTGAAAACCAAAGTTAGACATTAAAAACCCACTACAGATCAGGATAAGATTAACTGGATTGTAGTAAACTAGCAAGAACATGCTTCTGTTTAGGGAGGAAGTTACTATGATTTATACACCTCGATTCTTTAGCGTATTAGTATGCTGACGTACAATTGTAAGCGTTACTGTTTGTAACAACTTCTGTTTTCTTTCTTCTTGGACTCTTAGTAAGTGTATCTGCTAGGAGCAACTTCTTATGCTGGATTACTGCTAGCAGTTTATTTTGGCTATAACTGAGTTATCTGGTTCTGAACAAATACCAGTGATGAATGTTACATAAATACTGCTCTAGCTTAAAATCTCATTACAGTGTTCCCAGAAATAACTGGATGATAGTGAAATCTGGGGCTTGCATATTGTCTTCCTTTTGTGTCACCAAAATGTCAGTAAGGCTCTGCTTTAGTGCTGAAAATTATAGTAACTTTTAGAGTTCTCATAGCTTTAGTTTATAGCAAAAGTAAATCCCTCCTCTGTGTTGTAAATTTGTAAAAGCTTGTCCGGAAGTTCTGGCAAAAGACAGGAAACTACTGTTCCCTTCAGTGGCACTTCATGGGAAGGTGTTAAAGCATACGAGGTTCTTTTATGGGCATCTTGTGCACCTTAGCAAAGAGACGAGTGATTCTGTTCTCTTGCATTTTTCTGAGAAGTTTTTAAATGACTCACGGATTGAATCAATGACTGTTTCTGTCGTACAGTAGCATTTTAGTAGAGATCAAGTTCCAAATAGACTCATGGCTCATTTCAAGCATTCTGTGTAAATTTAGAAGTTATTTGACTGTGAAATATGAAATGATGGAGCTGTTGTGGCTGTCTGTGTTCAGTGGACTATAGTGCTATATTGATCTCATGGATTATTTTTTGTTTGTTTATAATTTGAATCAGAACTTTATTTTGAACATATCGTTGTAGCAGTGGTAAGTTTCTTTAAGGGTTTGTAAAGATAGGCAGGCATTTAAACAGTGTCTTTTAAGATTCAAGTTACCTTTCTCTTTTCCAATGGATTTTGTTATATTTTTTGAAGATCTTGCTTAATAACATTTGTCTGCCTTACTGTTTAGACAGAGCTTCACTAAATTGCATCTCCTGTATATTTGAAAAGGGTTGAGAAACACCAGATAGTTTGCCTGTATGGAAAATGTATATTTTAATAGTTTATCTCATCTGTATATTAGGCCTCAAGAAAGGAGAACTGGATATGAACAGCAATTTCATCCAGGTCCATCTCAGACAGATCATGACTCACTGGAATCCAAACGACCACGTCTGGAGCAAGTCTCTGATTCCCATTTTCAGCGTGTCAGTGCAGCTACTGTCTTGCCTTTAGTACATCCTCTGCAGGAAGGGTTGAGATCTGCGGATATTAAGAAGGTAAAACCATTTTCTCTTAAGACGCTGAAGGTGTAACTTCCTATGTCGTGGTGAGCTAACAATTCTTTTTTTATGTTAGGTTTTTTTTATTATTTATTTAGGTTCATTCTTTAATCTCAGAAATTTAATTTTACACGTTACAAACTGTGGTCATGAGTCAGTGTTACTCGTTTATAAAAAGAACAAGAAGATAAATCTGCCTCAAACACAATGAAGAAACTGGAGTTCCGAGTTCCCACTGCACTCTTAGGTCATTAAAACTTTAGTTGCAGAATTATTATAGTACATGAAATATTTCTGCTTTTCAGTTGAAAGCTGCTGGCAAATGCATGCCAGTCCATTTTTTTCTGTAATTAATATTTGTACTGAATGGTCAAAGTACTTCCCTCTGCCCTCTCTCCCTTTTAAGCATTTTAATTGAATCTGTTTGTTTACATAACACTAATTATACTTCTCACTGTCTCATTTTGGGTAAATCCAGGGCAATCTAGTTTGGTGTGGATATTTTCTATTGTAGATAGTGAATACTGATTAGAGCAGTTTGTATAGACCAGACAAATGTCTTGTAAATGAATATTTAATACCTTCTCTCATGCACGCACACAAGCACACAGCCTCACACACCAAAAGGTGGTGTGTAATGGTGTGATTTCTTAAGGTGAGTGCTTAAGTTTCTAAACTGGGATCATTTTAAAGACAAATTTCACCACATGGATTCAAAAGCTAATAAGCGCCAGATTTTTTAAAAGTTGATTACTTATCTTGCCTTCTCTCTACCATTCTTACTTCACAGCTGGTTTATTTACATGATAAAAAGTACAATTCTGATAGCTTGTGTTTTCTTAGTAATTTGCTGTGTTGCACAGCCAAGATAAGATTAAAGGGGGTTGGAGAAACTGAATTGCAGTATCATAAATGGGCTATCAGTTAATTCTAAAATATTTAGAGCATTAACAGACTGAAATATTAAACTTTAACTTAGGTAGCACCTCAACAGAGATAAATAACTGGAAATTCTTTTTAGTTCATGCATGCTGGTTTGGTTACTGAACGCTCATTTGCATGTTATCAATATGACTGATTTCTCTCAACCTTCTCCCTCACCTTCTGATCCCATGAAAGGACCCAGCTTTTGGAGGAAAGCATGAGGGACCATCTTCTCCAATTTCTGGTCAGCCTTGTGGGGAGGACCAAAATGCTTCACCCTCAAAGCTGTCAAAGGAAGAATTGATACAGAGCATGGACCGTGTAGATCGTGAAATTGCAAAAGTTGAACAGCAAATCCTTAAACTGAAGAAAAAGCAAGTAAGCATAGCAGACACTTCTGTTGTTATCTGCTGGTGAAAAAGGTGTGGAAAAACTGAATTTGTCATTGGTGGTGGTGAAGTTTTTGGTTACGTGAACCAAATGAACAAGTTAAAAAGGGAAAGTTGCGTATATGATTTTGCTAGGATGTTTAAATAGATTGGACATCATGTAGCTTTAGACGTTTTTGAAAGTAGAAGAAAGCCATATAGGAACACCAACAGCAGATGGCTTTGTATTTTAAACTTTGGTTACATGCCTGGTGAAACAAGGGCACTGTGACTGTAATTCCAGTTTAAAAGATGACTGCTGGGCGAGGGGATGCCATAATCTTTCTTTTGCTGTCTGTGCAAAGGGAGAATCCCTTGCATGCGTCTCCAAACCTAGAGTCTGTACAAAAGCCCTGGGATCATCTGCTTTCACAAGAGCAAGAGATCCTAATATCTGAAGCTGGGGTCAGCCTCAGGGGAAAGTGTAGTAGGAGGGGTGTGAGTAAATGGAGACAATAGAGAAATAGATGAGGAAATACCACTTTTTTTAGTAGGACCCTGGCTGTGCTCTGCATCCAAGAGCTGCACTTGAGCCATTGGAAGCAAAAGCAATGTTTGCTGGCAGCAGTTGCCTTCCCAGTAGCTGTTGTGGCCAGCTAAACCCCACCCTTCATTCCTGGCATCTGTTACTCGTGGACAAAACCAAAGTCCTTGTCTCCTTTTCCTTTTATGACTTTCAAAGATCCGGATAGAAGTAGTGCCAGCTTCATGGTTTTTTTTTAGTGGGAACTCTGTAGGAAACGAGAATTATGCTATAGGGTTTGTTAACAGGTAGGTCCAGGATAAAAGATAGACAGCTCTCTGGAGTGGGATGTTTTTATGGTCTGGAAGTGTTTAATTATGTCTGGATTTTAACAACCTGTAAAGTGACCTTCAGCAGG